AATTCTCTTGCCTCAGCCTCCCAAGTAGCTGGGACTACAGACACCTGCCACAATGCCTGGCTATTTTTTGGTTGTAGTTGTCATTGTTGTTTGGTAGGCCCGGGCTGGATTTGAACCTGCCAGCTCTGGTGTATGTGGCTGGTGCCTTAGCCGTTTGAGCTATAGCTGCCACCCTGGACTTATAGTTTTTATTGGGAGGCTTTGGCCAAGGGTATTAGGAAGTGTGGTGCTTGCGGGAGCCAGGCCTGGGTATAGTTCTTTAGCTAGGAAGATAGTTTTCAGCAGAAGAGGCTTGAGGGCTTGGTTTCCACACCCAGGATTGGCAGGCCCTTCCCCATGGCTTCATTTTGCCAGGGCCCCCGCATGCCAGAATGGTTTGGCCTACCTCCCTCTGGGGTCTGCAGTCCAGAGTGGGCCTTCCGCCCCCTCTCAAAATGGTGTGACCCAACCGCCAAAGGCCAGGGCCACCCAGATGGCAGCAACCTGGCCTATCTGCTTCACCGTGGTCCCCACTGTGGTTAGGTCTGCCAGTCCCTAAGTTCCTGCCAGCATTCCCAAACCATCCCCCTGTGGTTGAGGACACTGAGGCGCTCTTACCATCCCAGTGGCAGCCCATCAGGCCCTTTTACCATCACAGTGGCAACCCGTCGGGCACGACCATCTCATGTGCACATGAGGAACCATGGGCTCAAAGAGGTGAAGGCACTTGCTCAGCATGTGTGTCTCACTCCTCACCTAGGGCCTCTCTTACACTCTATCAGGCTTCCAACCTCCAACTCTTTCGTGCCCCATGTGTAAGGCCATCAGGATTTGCTCCCATTTTATAAATGGTGGTGTAGAGGCTCAAAGGGTTAAAGGCATCTACCCAGGGTGGCAGAGCAAGGACAGAAAACCAGATCTGATTCTCAGGCCTTTGCCTCTGGCTCTGCTCAGCCCCCTGGGGCAGGACCTCCCCCTGAGCTTGCTCTGCCTGCCCTCAGGAGCTCGAGAAGGCTGTGGTGCAGGGTAAGGTACTGGGAGCCCGGCTGGAGCATCTGCAGCTTGAGCTGGAACAGGCGGCTCTGGAGCGCCAGGAATTTCTTCAAGAACAGAAAAGCCAAAACCAAAGGTGAGGGTGGTGCTGGGGGGTGGGGACAGAAGGGGTCAGGCAGGGGCTTGGTGCGGCGGGGTTGGTTGGGGTGATGTTGGATGCCAAGGCTTCTCCTGGTAGGTACCGGGGCTTGGAGCAGCGGCTGGAAGCCGAGCTGCAGGCGGCAGCTACCAGCAAGGAGGAGGCGCTGATGGAGCTCAAGGCCAAGGCTCTACGGCTGGAAGAGGAGCTGTTCCAGGTGGGGCCCTTGTGGTATAGCCCTGGGAAGTGGGGCCTGTTCTGTCCCTTCGTCCATTCCACAGCAGAATCCTTGGGCGCCTGTGCTCCTGGTCTTGTGCCTGGATTCTTGGCCTACTACTCGCTTCCCTGCCCACACAGGGCCATGGGAAGGAGCACTGTGCTGGGAGTCTGGGGGCCGTGTGGCCTTCTCCATGCCTTTTGCCTCCCCCACTCTGCACACACAAGAGCCTCTGCTGTGAGGTGACTGCTCTATTTCCTTTGCCCAACTCCACTTCCTAGTGAGCTTAGCTTGTAAGGCATTGACTTGCAAGTCAGTGATTGTTTCTGATGTCCTACTGTGTATGAGCTCAGTGCTGAGTGCAGGGTGGAGGGTTTGGGGGGGAGCATACCAGGCCACCACCCTTAGGGAACTCACAGCCCAGTCAGGACAGAGGCACAGAGGCAAGAAAACAAATGATGATAACACGGGGACCGAGATGAGGTCATGCAGGGCTGGGTGGGGGTACCTAGCAAGGCGCCTGGTAGGGTCAGTCAGAAGAGGTTTTCTGGAGCCAGCAGTGTTGGAACTGAGGCTTAGAGAAGAGCAGATGGAGATTGTTAGGTGCAGGAGAAACAGTGCAGGTGAGATGAAGCTCTGCTGCAGAGTGAGAAAAATTGAGAAGCACAGAGTGGAGACCTAGGGACCTTAGGGAACCAGGAATGTGGGCTTGTGGGATGGAAGGGAAGGCATGGGCAGTGTCAAATGCTGCTGAAGGGACATCTCCAAGCTGCCACTGTTGGCCTGAGTGACTTCACAGGGCTTCTCCTTGTAGCTACGCCAGGGCCCCTCGGGGCTAGGGGTCCAGGAGCAGGCCAACCCTCAGATGGTGGAAACCCCGAACATGCGGCTCATTGAGGTGGAGCGCAGTGTGAGTGTTGGCTTGACGTGTGTGCGGGGGGTGGAGGGGTGCCCGGCCTCCTGGCCACTGCTGACCACCCCTTTCTGGACAGAATGCTACACTGGTGGCTGAGAAGACAGCTCTGCAGGGGCAGCTGCAGCACCTGGAGGGGCAACTAGGGAGCCTGCAGGGCCGTGCCCAAGAGCTGCTGCAGCAGAGTCAGAGGGCTCAGGAGCACAGTAGCCGGCTGCAGGTGGGTGGTGGCCTGGATGCCCCATTCCCGGTATCCACTCACCAGTGCCTCCTGCCCCAGCCCTTTGCCTCCACAGCTCTTTCTTTTTCTTTGGTCCTGGCCTTTGCCCTTGGCCCCCTACCCCTCAGCTCCTTTATAGCCCAGGGTTCTACCCACTGGTCCTTGCCCACCTTCTTTGCCCTAGGCCGAGAAGTCTGTATTGGAGGTACAGGGCAAGGAGCTGCACAGGAAGCTGGGGGTGTTGGAGGAGGAGGTGCAGGCAGCACGGAGATCCCAGGAGGCGACTCGGGAGCAGCAGCAGGCCCTTCTGCGGGACCATGAGGCCCTGGCACAACTACAGCGGCGGCAGGAGGCGGAGCTAGAGGGACTACTAGTGCGGCACCGAGAACTCAAGGCCAACATGCGGGCGCTGGAGCTGGCCCACCGGGAACTGCAGGGCCGGTGAGCCTCCCCACTCAGCCCCTCTTCCACACCCCTCCCTGCCAGTGCAGGCTCCCTTGGCAGGCCTGACCCTACCAGAAAGTGCATCCACTTTGCTTTGTGACACTCAGGTGCTGCTGTACCCCTGGGGTGGCAGTGCTCCCCATGCTTCTGGGCTGGGACTACTTAGGAGATGACAGACCCTTTCCCAGGTCTAGACAGTCCAGCTGCCCACTTGCTGAGGTCCCAAACCCCAGCAGCCCCTTAACCCCGTGTCCATCACAGACACGAGCAGCTGCAGGCGCAGCGGGCCAACGTGGAGGTACAGGAGATAGCCCTGCTGGCAGAGCGTGAGCGCCTGATGCGGGACGGACACCGGCAGCGGGACCTGGAAGAGGAGTTACGGAGGCTGCAGAGTGAACATGACAGGTGCCTGGTGCAGCCCCACCCCCCGCCAGCTCCCTGTGTTCCTTCCTGTGAAGTGGGTTGGGGATGTGGAGTCCCCCCATGCCTTCTCTTCCTGACATCACTCCTCTGGCTGGCATGAGGGCACTGGGTAGGGAGGCTCCTTGGAGAGCGGCTGTCTTTGCCTCTGAAGGGCTCAGATACTGCTGGCGGAAGTGTCTCGAGAGCGGGGTGAGCTGCAGGGTGAACGTGGGGAGCTGCGGGGCCGGCTGGCACGGCTGGAGTTGGAGCGGGCACAGCTGGAGATGCAGAGCCAGCAGTTGCGTGAATCCAACCAGCAGCTGGACCTGAGTGCCTGCCGGCTAACCACGCAGTGTGAGGTGTGGTGTGGCATGGACACATAATGGCTGAGGGTGGTGGAGGTGGAGAGGGGCCGGCGAGTGGAGACCCAGGGTGCCTTGAGCTTGGTTCTATCCCTGACCCCGGCTGCTGCCCACCAGCTGCTGACACAGCTGCGGAGTGCCCAGGAAGAGGAGAACCGGCAGCTACTGGCTGAGGTACAGGCCCTGAGCCGAGAGAACAGGGAGCTCTTGGCGCACAGCCTGGAGAGCCGGGACCACTTGCACCGTGAGCAGCGCGAGTACCTGTGAGCAGGTGGCCCAGGAGTGGGGCAGCCTGGATTCCCCTGTGGTTGATCTGTGCTGGGCCTCTCAGAGCCTCATGTCTACCTCTCCCCTCCCGCTCTGCCCAGGGACCAGCTAAATGCCCTGCGCCGTGAAAAGCAGAAGCTTGTGGAGAAGATCATGGATCAGTACCGTGTGCTGGAGCCTGGGCCCCTGCCCCGGACCAAGTGAGTGACCCCATACACCATGGGCCAGGCATCCTGCCAAGCTCTGCCCTGCCCTGCCCTCTGACCCCTGGCCCATCTCATGTCCAGGCCCCAGTGAAAGTCGGCCTGGCCTTTGCCATCCCTGATATGATCCTCCTCTCCCTAATTCCTCCCTCTCCTTACCCCCTCTTGTGCACTCTTGCCCCCAGGAAGGGCAGCTGGCTGGCAGACAAGGTGAAGAGGCTGATGAGGCCCCGGCGGGAGGGGGGCCTCCATGGGGGGCCACGCCCGGGGGCCGATGGGGCTGGCAGCATGGAGAGCCTGGGGGGCCCCCTGGAGACGGAGCTCCCTGAGGGCAGGGAGGCAGATGGGACAGGTGGGTCTGGGGGCCAGGTGACCAGGACGGTCCCTTGCCTCACTGTCTGGCCTGCACACGTGCCCCTCAACCCCTTGTACTTTCCCTGATGCCTTCCCTAACTTGCCCAGATGCTTCCTGTGGCTCTCTGCCCTGGGCCCTGCAGGGTCCCTATTGACTGGCACCTTCCTGCTGCCTCCCTGCCACCCACCCAACCCACCCCATCTGTAGCAGTGCCTAGGACCTCGGAGTAGCAGGGAACTCTAGTGAGGGGTTGTTTATCTTAGATCCTAGATAGCAAATGAAGAAATTGAGGCCCAGGGAGGGGATGTGTCTTTCCCAAGGTCACACAGTCAGTGTCAGAGCCAACACAGGGCCCACTCAACCTCATTTGCTTGTCCCTCACCTCTGTGCCTCCACTCCTGGGCCCTGTGTAGCTTTACCTGCTGGCCCCTCTGCTACAACTGACCCCTGTGTGCCCTTCTCTGATACCCTCCCTGCATGTGCCTCTTGCAGGGTCCCCTTCACCAGCACCCATGCGCCGGGCCCAGAGCTCCCTCTGCCTGCAGGATGAGACCCTTGCAGGGGGGCAGCGGCGGAAACTCAGCTCTAGGTTTCCTGTGGGGAGAAGCTCTGAGTCATTCAGCCCTGGGGACACCCCCCGGCAGCGATTCCGACAACGCCGTCCAGGTCCCCTGGGAGCACCCAGCTCCTATGGCAAAGGTGAGGGACAAGGTCCCTATCCTTGCTAGCCCCCCAACTCTCCATGGATCCACCAGCTCCTTGGGGAAGGGGGCTTTCTTCCTGTCCCCTCTGTCTCCTCCAAGCCCTGCCCATTCCTGCACTGGCCTCCAGGGCCTAGTGGCTGCCTTCTGCCCCCCAGGACCTGGCGTGGCATGGGATGGCTCTGGCAAGACTCTCCAGGAACACAAAGCAGATGCCAACCGAGAGGGTGAGTGGGGGCCTGGGGAAGGAGTGGGGTTATTTGCCCTGTCTGGGGCCCCTGACAGATCTCATTCATCCATTCTCTCATTTGACAATGATCCTTTACCAAGTGCAAGTTGTGTGCTAGCTGAGGACGCAGCAGGGAACATTCTGGTATGGGGAGGCAGACATAAATGATTTGCATAAAATAATTATTATCTATGACAGCTCTGACCAGTAGAAATATGATGTGAGCCACATAGGTAGCCTTTACTTTTTCTGGTAGCTTCATCAGAAAAAAAAAAGACAGGTAAAATTAATTTTAATAACACATCTTATTTAACACAACATGTAGTGAGCATATGAGCTACTGGATGTGATTTTCCATGCTAAGTCTGTGAAGCACGTCACAGTTCAGGCCACCCACCTCCCACCTGCTCAGCCTTGTGCCAGGCAACTTGGCCTTAGAACACCAGGAGGTGCTAATGCTCTGGGAGGAAAGGTGGGCAGGGGATGGGTCAGGAGCTCTGGCGGGCGGGCTGTGATTTTAACTAGGGTGTTCAGGGTCAGCCTCGGAGGAGTGAAGTTGGAGCAGAGATTGGAGGTGAGGGTTTGTTGTGTCTGTCTTGGAGATGGTATAGCATTCCAGGCAGAGGGAAGAGCTAAAAAAAGGCTTGGCATGGTGGAGGACTGAGGAGGCAGCTAGTGTCCCTGAAGGGGGGAAATTAGAGGGGTGGAGGGTATTCAGAAGATGTGTGGCCCTGTGGGGCACCTCAAATGCTGGGAGTCCTCCTGAGGACAGTAGAACTGAACTAAGCCTTTCCTTCCAGGCCTCGAGGTTCAGGAACCAGAGAAATGTCCACTCACCCCTTCCCTCAGCCAGTGACACCACGGGGACAGGGGGATTGGAAGTGAAGCCCTGTCGCCGCAGGAGCATCAGTGGGGTCCCCAGGCAGCTCAAGAGCTTGGGGAACCAGAGTTCCCAAGGGGAGTCCTTGGACAAAGAGGTCTGGGTCTCAGGATCCTCCATGGCGAGCACTGGGGCCCTGAGATGGATCTGTGACAAGTTTGTGGACAGGGAGGATGGCTGGCCCTCCACATGTGGCTGTAGGCCAGGGCTCAGGCTCTGCTATGGGGCCTCCACTGAGGAGGCCATCTCTAAAGGATCCTCTAGCTGAAGGAGGCTGGCAGGAGTCGGCAAGAGAGCCCCCTGCCTGGTCCAGGTTGGGAGCTGGGTCTTATTCCTGAGGTACTGTAGACTGAGCTGATAATTAAGCCTTAATGGGATATGAGGGGCATGAGAATAAAGCTGAGATACAACCATTTGAGTCATGCTCTGTGTCTCCTGGCTGCACTTGGAAGTCTCAGGCCACTAGGAACACATGTGGCCCAGTCCTCCTCTTGGATGGCAGGGGTCTGGCCAGAGGGCCTCTGCATGGACAGGGCAGTGAAGGGCTTTCTTCAGGGGCTTGGTTAGGCAGGCTGGCTAGAGCCTGGATGTCCCATGGGGGTGGGGTGGGGCGGGAATGGCATTCTGGGCAGCCAGTGGTGGGTGGGGCCTGAGGTCTGGGCTCACGGGTGAGGGGCAGGGAAGCCCCCCCCCTCCCCCCGTGGCCCTGCCCCTATCCTCTCCATTTACATCTTCTGCTTCCTTATCCTCTCTTCCACTGCTCTAAGTTAAGCCCCTTTCCAGGGAGCTCATGTCCTGGTGGAGCATCACCTAGTGCCAGGGCCTGCTTAAGGAGGTGGAAAGCATGCTGGCTTCCTGACTAGGGCTTCTAGTATGATGCCTGGGAAGGGGACAATTAGGCAGGTTGGCAGGATGTGAGTCAGGGCACCTGGGGCTGCCCAGGGGAGGGTGGGGATGCCCAAGGCTGAGATGAGGTAGTCTGAATTTGGGGATGGGCAGCTCTGGGAGGGGCAGCCAGTCCAGCCTCCCTAGTGTAAGCTGCAATCTAATTCCTCTTCCTCTCTGCCATAGCTTCAAAGGGCAGTGGGGTGGGGAGGGGCTCCTGGCCTCCAGCAGGCAGAGCAACTGAAAGCCCCTGCCTTGGGGTGGGGGCTCTGATGGTTGCCCCTCCTGACTTTGTGGTCCCTATCAGCGGTCAGGGAGGAGGAGACAGGGAAAGGCTCTGGAGGACCCACCAGTCTGGGGCTCTGGGCCTGATGGAGAGAGAGGACTGCCCATATGTGGTTTGGATGTCCCTTTTTGAGGCCTACTGTGGGCTCTGGGCTGGGGACAGAACTACATGAAGTGTGCACCGAATCTGGTGGGCTTCCAGCAGTGGCTGGGAGATGAGCTGCTTTTTGCAGGCTTCCTCTAATGAGAACTGGTTAGAAAATTAGCCACTCCTCCCTGCCATGGGGTCCCAGCTTGGCTCCAGCCCTCTTCCCTCCCTGCCAAGGCAAGTCCAGGGGAGAGGGGATGGGCAGGGCTGGCCCCACAGCTGAGACACTACTGACTTCCAGAATCCAATCCCCCTTTAGCTTACCCAGCACTAGGGGCGCCTGGCGCCATGGGGGCTGAGCCAGTTGCTAGCCGTGGCCTCAGGCTACTCATCTGTCAAGGGGACATACTAATTCCTTCCCCTATTTGCCGCCATCAGGGAGTGATCAAAAAACGAGGTGGGTGGGGTGTGATTTTCATTAAACTCCTTACTTTGGACAGGAGATGCTTGGCTGCCCTCAGGGCTGGCACAGGCAGCCGGGAGGGCTCAAAAGCGCCCAGCGGACACCCCTCTCCTGCTCTGGAGCACAGGTTCCTCGTGGCCTCAACATCACTGGCTGCAGCATCGTCTTGGGGGGCAGACAACTGGCTTGAGGGCCGTTGGCTCAACAGGGGCTCCAGATTGTCCTCGGGCGCAGGCATGGCTTCTGCGGGGTGTTTCCAGTTCTTGGAGGCTCAGTTGAGGTCTCCAAGCGCACAGCCCTAACGCCCGCTAGCTCAGGGGTCGGGGATAGGGACGCTTCTGCCGGGGGCCCACCTGTACCTCGGCGCTGTCACGTTCCAGCCGCCTGACTCAGGCCCCGCGGGGCGGGGAGCCGGGAGGCGGCGCTGGAGCCCGACTCGGCCCCAGAGGCGGCACCAGGAAGCGCCCGCCCCGGCCAGAGCCGCCATGTAACCGGCGCCGCCCGGAGCCCCAGCCGCGCGGGCCCCAGCGACCCGCCGGCCATGGGAGACGAGGACGAGGATGAGGGCTGTGCCCTGGAGCTGTGGATCACGGAAGGTGGGTGTGGGCCCTGGGGACTGCTACTCCTGGCGGGCTGGGAGGGGTCATGGGCTGGCTGGGCTTATTCGCCCCTGTGCCCATAGCCAACCTGACCGGGCATGAGGAGAAGGTGAGCGTGGAGAACTTCGAGCTGCTCAAGGTGCTGGGAACGGGAGGTGAGGACCCTCTTCCACCAGGCACGTGTCCCAGGACCAGTGTCTTGGGCCTCCTGCCTGCTCACCCGCCTGGGCCAGGGCCAGGCCACTGGGAAGGCCCCCCACCCTTTCCCGTCAAAGCCTGCCTTGCCTGCCCCGCCCTGCCTAGCTAAGGTTTGCATGCCCACTTCCAGGGCACTTCGTGCTAACATCATTCCTCCTTGTGAGGTCCTGGGTGTGCATACCTCCCCCCTAGGGTTTGCCACCCTCCTTGGGGGCTTGCACCCCTCCCAAGTGATTTGTATAGGTCCTCTCCTTCTTCCATATGAGAACCCCTTCTCACATTTTGCAAACTCGTTTGCACATCCTTTCCCTGGCCAGGTGCACACCTCTGCCTGCCTTCCTTGCGTTTTCATCCTTTCCCATCCATCTGCTCCTTCACAGGTTTGCACAGGCCCCACCCCCACCCCTCTCTGCAGGCCTGCTGGAGTTGCATGCTCCCTAGCCTGGTTTGCACATCCCTCTCTGGCTGTACCCTCCTGGGGTGTGCACACCTCTTCCTTAGAAGGTTCTGCCAGCATTTTGCACACTTGCTTCTCATCCCAGATTCTTCCCCCAAATTGCACACCCTCCTGGGTTGGCTTCACCCCACCCCCACTAGTGTGTGCCACCCTCCCACTCACACAGCCCACCCCCACCCACTTGCTGCACCCACAGCCTACGGGAAAGTGTTCCTGGTGCGGAAGGCAGGCGGGCACGATGCGGGGAAGCTGTATGCCATGAAGGTGCTGCGCAAGGCGGCGCTGGTGCAGCGTGCCAAGACGCAGGAGCACACGCGCACCGAGCGCTCGGTTTTGGAGCTCGTGCGCCAGGCACCCTTCCTGGTCACACTCCACTATGCCTTCCAGACTGATGCCAAGCTGCACCTCATCCTGGGTGAGTGCACACCACAAACTGACAGTGTGAGGGAATGGGGGCAGGTGAGGCCACCCCACGGGGATACTTCCTAACTTCTGCTGCACCCCTAGACTACGTGAGTGGTGGTGAGATGTTCACCCACCTTTACCAGCGCCAATACTTCAAGGAGGCTGAAGTGCGTGTGTATGGGGGTGAGATTGTGCTGGCCCTGGAATACCTGCACAAGGTGGGTGAGGACCTATTTGTAGGCTGTTGCCATAGGAACTGGGGCTGGACCTTATAGGGGTATCCTACAGGCAGGCAGCCTTGGGTCTCTCCCTGGACTCCCTGGTACAGGTGCTGACCTTGGTGGGGACTCAAGCTGCTCTCCCAGGCTTCCTAGCAGGAAGCCCCAGCACTGCCTGGTGGGGGTTTCTTCTTACGGGGAACTTGGGCCACATTCACACAACTTCCTCAAATGGGGACCTCATGCCTTGGCTCCCAAGGCCTCCTTGAAATGGGGCTCTTTATAGACTTTCCTCTCTCCTGGACCTTTGGGCCTGTTCCATGGGGCCCTCATTTCTTGCTTTATATCATAAGTGGCCTTTTTTCTCCAATGGCCCAGCTCTGCCTTGGAGACCCCTCAGCAGGCCGATGACCTTCTCCAGCAGGATCTCCTTATCTAGAGCAAGAACACAAGTTACAGGAGCTGGAGAGGGTCTCAGGGGATGAAGCCTCAGTGCCCCTCTTGTCCTACTAGCTTGGCATCATCTACCGAGACCTGAAGCTGGAGAACGTGCTGCTGGACTCGGAGGGCCACATTGTCCTCACAGACTTTGGGCTAAGCAAGGAGTTCCTGACAGAGGAGGTAAGTGGACGGCAGTCTCTGCCTGTGTCCCATTCAAACCTTCTTTCTGCCTCTTCCTGCTCCATACCTGTGTTCTGGGGGTGCAGGAGTGAACAGATGCAGGAAGTCCCCACTGTTTAACTCCCTCATGTCACAAGTCCAGCGAGTCCTACTCTGATGTTTGGGGGCTGCTAGGGCATAAGAGAGGCTTGGATGTCCAAACAGGTCCTCTTGCCCTCCTAGAAAGAGCGGACCTTCTCCTTCTGTGGCACCATTGAGTACATGGCCCCTGAAATCATCCGCAGCAAGGCAGGCCATGGCAAGGTGGGTTGGTGGGGAAGTGGGGGGTGGAACTGGCTGTGGGGGGAGTAAGGAAAGCCACAGGCCCTCATGGTGTCCTCTCTCCCCGGTAGGCTGTGGACTGGTGGAGCCTGGGCATCCTGCTCTTTGAGCTGCTGACGGGAGCCTCACCCTTCACACTGGAGGGTGAGAGGAACACGCAGGCTGAGGTGTCCCGGTGAGTAGGGATGGAGGTAAAGGGCGGCTGAGGGGCTGCAGAGCCTGCCTGGGCAGGGCTGTGGGGAGGGCTCGCTGCCCCTGACGCCCCCCCCAATCCTCCCAGACGGATCCTGAAGTGCTCCCCTCCCTTCCCCCCACGGATCGGGCCCGTGGCGCAGGACCTGCTGCAGCGGCTGCTTTGCAAGGAGCCCAAGAAGCGATTAGGTGCGGGGCCCCAAGGGGCACAAGAAGTCAAGAACCACCCTTTCTTCCAGGTGAGGCTCCTGACTCTGGGACCCCCACAACTCTAAGCCAGACTGCTGCTCTGGATTGGGGGACACTGGAGGGACGGTCTGAACCTGGCCAATTTCACTTTATCTGGAAAATCCCTCAGATAAAGAAAGCAAGTGTGTGTAAGTCAGGTTTGATTTCCATGTCATCCCATTGAAACCCGGCAGGTATATTCCTGAAGGAAAGATTTCTAGGTTCATCAGTTGTCAGGCCTGGCAGGGACTTGAGAACAGATTGGTCAGTCCTTTCGTTAGAACCAGAGAAGGCAGGTAACCTGCCCCAGATGGCACAGTAAATGGTGCATTGCTGGGAGCAGACCTCAGCTTTAAATAGGTCTCCTGTTGGCTCACATTAGTACTAAAAAAAAATCACGCTTATGGCTCTCAGCTTCTACCTAGGCACTTTGTTTGTTGTCCCTATATAGTCTGTGTGCTTGTAATTCAGATGGATGGTTGATGTCCCCAGGTGGTTTTTTGCTCACTTGTTGAGAGCACACATGTGTTAGAGTGCAGCACAGAGTGGATTCTGCCTTGTATGTGGCCAGCAGCAGTGCCTAGCAGGGCTCTGTGACAATGGCTACCTCCTTTGCTCACATTATTTCACACGGCCCTCAGTACCACCCTGATTATCCCCATCTTTATAGTTTCAGAAGCTGATGGTCTAAGCAGTCATTTGTCCAACGTCACTAGGAAGTGATGGAGCTCAGATTCAGACTTTTTATTCTACTGTTTACACTCAAGAATCAGATTTGCCACTTGCCAGACATCCTAACATAAGTGCCCATTTATGAGCTAGGTACTCTGTTACCCATGCTGTGAGTGCCATCTTCTCGAATCTTCCTACAAGTACCAACCTGGAAGGACCTTCCTGAGATGCCTTCTCAGACAGGAATCTAGGTGTCCGAGGTGAAGATGTCCCTGTCAGGAGTATGGTGGGAGGGGAGGGGAGGGAAAGGTGGCAAGCAATGTGATTTTCCTTCAGCAAGCCCACCCTGAGCCCAGGCTGAGTGCTATGCTGGGTGCTGGAGGGGTTGACCACTCATACTAGAGAGCCCTCAAAGTCTTTAAGGCCTGATGCTTGGAAAGGGTGCTCCCTCCATTCTGCCTTCTTTTGGACAACCTCTTTGGTGATAGCAGTGCTGAGGTCCCTAGTGGCAGAACTGGAGACTTCAAGCTCAAGTTAGGCTTCTTGGCTACAAGGGACAAAAAGCCCAACTGAAAACGATGGTACCAGTGGAATAGAGATTGGCTAATAGCAACAGAGATCAGAATGAACAGTGACCTAAACAAGATAGAGGTTTACTTGCCAGAGCTGCTGTGGTATTATGATGGTATTACACTGTCATTGGGAATTCATATATTTTTTTTAAATGTTCCTTCATTCTTAGCATATAGCCTCTATTCTCCATGGTTGCTTTATGTTCCAAAGTGGCTGCTGGAGCTCTTGCCATCTAGTCTGATCCCTAGGTAGGAAGCAGGAGGAAGAAGGAGAAGGGCAAAAAGGGCACTTGCCAACTATCCACCTTCCTCTTAAGGATCTTTTCCTGGAATCCTGCCTGACAGTTGTTGCTTTCAAATTATTGGTAACTTCTAACTACAAGGAAGTTTGTAATATATTCTTTTAATTGTGTATATTGGTTCCTATAATAAAATTTGGGGCTTCAGTACTAAGGAAGACAGGAAGAATAGATATTAGGTAGACAATTAACAGGTTATACCACTTTAATGTTTACTAGCTTAAACATAAAAGGGCATTATTTTAACTGCTATAAGTGAAAAGTCCAAGGAATAGTGGTTAGACTTCAGGCAGGGCTGCATCTAGGTGTTGAAACTGTCTCTTGGTCCTGCTTTTTTTTTTTTTTTTTTTTTGAGACAGAGCCTCAAGCTGTCCCCCTGGGTAGAGTGCGCTGGCATCACAGTTCACAGCAACCTCCAACTCCTGGGCTCAAGCGAGTCTCCTGCCTCTGCCTCCCTAGTAGCTGGGACCACAGGCGCCTGCCACAACACCTGGCTATTTTTTGGTTGCAGCCATGATTGTTGTTTGGTGGGCCCGGGCTGGATAAGAACCCACCACCTTAGGTGTTATGTGGCTGGCGCCTTAGCCTCTTGAGCCACAGGCACTGAGCTGGTCCTGCTTTTCTATATGCAGATGTCATTAGACCCCAAGAGGGTCCCTGGCCAGGTGCAGTGGCTCATGCCTGTAATCCTAGCACACTGGGAGGCCAAGGCAGCTGGATTGCCTGAGCTTACAAGTTTGAGACCATCCTGAGCAAGAGTGAGACCCCATCTCTAAAAATAGCCAGGAGTTGTGGGTGCCTGTAGTCCCAGCTACTTGGCAGGCTGAGACATAAGGATAGCTTGAGCTAAGAGTTTGAGGTTGCTGTGAGCTATGACACCACAGCACTCTACTGAGGGCAACAATATGAGATTCTGTCTCACAAAAAGGGCCCCTGGCAGATCTAGATCCACGTTCTTTCAGATTTAAGTCCGGTAGGAGAAAGAGATTTGTTGTTGTTTTTTTTTTAATTTCTTTTGAGACAGAGCCTCAAGCTGTCCCCCTGGGTAGAGTGCTGTAGCATCACAGCTCACAGCAACCTCCAACTCCTGGGCTCAAGCGAGTCTCCTGCCTCTGCCTCCCAAGTAGCTGGGACCACAGGCGCCCGCCACAACGCTTGGTTATTTTTTTTGGTTGCAGCTGTCATAGTTGTTTGGTGGGCCAGGGCTGGATTCGAACCTGCCATCTTAGGTGTACGTGGCTGGCGCCTTAGCCGCTTGAGCCATACCAATTCTATTAAAAGTTCCAGAACTGGTTCTCCAAGGGGAACAGGGTTTCTGATAACAGGTGGCAAATGGAAGCTGGGGTGGCAGGAAGAACAGCTGCCCACCCAGATGCCAGATGGGCCTCTGTTTTTTTGAAGAGCTGCCTAGTGAGAGTGGCCTGAGTCAAAGAGGTTCCCAGTTCCTGCCCTGTGATACTTAATCTCTGATTCCTTTTCCCCAGGGTTTAGATTGGGCTGCTCTGGCTACCAGGAAGATTCCCGCCCCATTTCGGCCCCAGATACGCTCAGAGCTGGATGTGAGCAACTTTGCAGAGGAATTTACTCGGCTAGAGCCTGTCTACTCACCCCCTGGAAGTCCCCCTCCTGGGGACCCTCGAATCTTTCAGGTAAGTGAGAACTCACAGAATCCTAGATGTAGGAGAAGTGGGGTGCTGTTGCTGGCCTCAGCCGTTTCCTGGGCAGCCCTCAGCATCTCTCCCAGAACTCTCCACTTGTAGTCCTGGTATGGGCTGTCATCAACCACCAGGGAAGGACATATGTTTGGTGGTCCATGGTTTATATTTAAGCCTTGTGCTAATTTCCCTTTGTTTATTATCTTTTTTATTTGAAAATATTGTTTTAAATTATTTACTTGTTTAAGTGGACATCCAGGAAGAGATGCCATGTTTATACTATGGCTTTGCATGCCCTTAGCATAGTACATCAAAGTCCTAGAGGCATAGGTCCCCTCCATCCAAGTTTAGAAGCTTAGGCCTATTAGACAATCCACACTCCTTTGCTCAGCCTTCGAGGTCCCACGTAATGTGGTCCTTACTCTGTGTCTTAGCCTTAGTGCTGTTTTTTTACTTGATGCCTCTGGAGGGCAGTTCTGAACTGCTCAGAGGTTCCAGAACACACCTCTGTGTCTTTGCACACACTGTTCTCCCCTTCCCTACAGTAGCCCCCCTGGCAAGCTCCCACTCATCTTTTAGGCCTCCTTGTCCACAGAGGGTAATCCAGCCCTTTCTCTTGTGTGCGTTAGCCCTCTGTGAATAGCATGTCTTCTGAACAATTTGTCATGTTGTATCCTTAGGCTGCCTCCTGTGGTCTAGAAGACCCCAGGGGTGGGACTGTATGTTTAAGCACTGTGTTCCCAGGCCCAGTGTGGGGGTCTGACTGGTAGGAAAGGATCTATAAATATTAAATGAGAATAGACTAATATCAAGTATGGATGGATCAGTCTTCTCTGTGAAGCTCTTAAAATTGCCAAGTATAGGCTCGGCGCCTCTAGCTCAACCGGCTAAGGCGCCAGCCACGTACACCTAAGGTGGCGAGTTCGAATCCCCAGCCCGGACCCACCAAACAACAATGACGGCTGCAACCAAAAAATAGCCAGGCGTTGTGGCGGGCGCCTGTGGTCCCAGCAACTTGGGAGGCGGAGGCAGGAGACTCGCTTGAGCCCAGGAGTTGGAGGTTGCTGTGAGCTGTTATGCCACTGCACTCTACCCAGGGGGACAGCTTGAGGCTCTGTCTCAAAAAAAAAAAAAAAATTGCCAAGTATATCTGGGCATGGTGGCTCACACCTGTAATCCCAGCACTTTGGGAGGCCAGGAGTTAGAGACCACATGGGCAACATAGGGAGATCTCCATCCCCACAAAAAGTTAAAAAACTAGCTGGGCATGGTGGTGTGTACCTGTAGTCTCAGCTGCTCACAAGGTTGAGGCAGGGGGATTGCTTAAGCCCAGGAGTTCAAAGTTATAGTGAGCTATGATTGGGTTGCTACATTTTAGTTGGAACAACAGAGTGACACTGTCTGAAAAGAAGCCAAATTGACAGGCTGGGCATGGTGGCTCATGCCTGTAATCCCAGTACTCTGGGAGGCCGAGGTGGGTGGATTGCCTGAGCTCACAGGTTTGAGAGTAGCCTGAGCCAGAGTGAGACCCCATCTCTAAAAAACTAGCCCAGCACTGTGGCAGGCACCTGTAGTCTCAGCTACTCAGGAGGCTTAGGCAAGAGAAGCGCTTGAGCCCAAGAGCTTGAGGTTGCTATGAGCTATGATGCCACAGTATTCTATCGAGGGCAACAAAGTGAGACTCTGTTTAAAAAAAAAAAAGAAACCAAATTGACAACTCTGTGCTTAAACTTCCCTTGTTCCATTGTCTCACAGTCCTAATGAGGAAGTTCTTTCTTCTGACTAGGTGTTTACTGCCATTCATTTATTCAGTGATTCAAAAATGTGTACTGAGTGCCTACAATGTACTTGGCACTGATCTAGGCATTGAGGACATCTCAATGAACCTAACAGACAAAAATCCCACCTACACGGAGCTGGCATTCTAGGGCACAGAAGGGCTACACTTTTTTTTTTTTTTGAGACAGAGTCTCACTGTGTCTGCCCTCAGTAGAGTGCTGTAGCATCACAGCTCACAGCAACCTCAAACTCTTGGGCTTAAGTGATTCTCTTGCCTCAGCTTCCCAAGTACCTGGTACTACAGGCACTGGCCACAACACCCAGCTATTTTGTTGTTGTTGTTGTAGTTGTCATTGTTGTTTGGCAGGCCTGGGTTTGAACCCACCAGTCCTGTTGTATGTGGCTGGTGCCCTAGTTGCTGAGCTACAGGCCCTGAGCCAGAAAGGCTACACTTTCTTTTTGCAGTTTTGGCTGGGGCTGGGTTTGAACCCACCACCTCCAGCATATGGGGCAAGTGCCTTACTCCTTTGAGCCATAGGTGCCGCCCTAGAAAGGCTACACTTTTAAAAGAAAATAACACACAGATAAAATCACCCTTGAAAGCCCCTTACCGGATCTTTAGGAAAAGCAAATAATTAACTTTGGTTTCTCTGCATTTCCCTGGTAGCCCCCCTTGCAGAGGAAGACAAAGCCTGGTTTGTATGGCGGTACCTGTGGCTCAGTGAGTAGGGCACTGGCTCCATATGCCAAGGGTGGCGGGTTCAAACCCAGCCCCAGCCAAACTGCAACAAAAAATAGCCAGGCGTTGTGGTGGGCTCCTGTAGTCCCAGCTACTTGGGCGGCTGAGGCAAGAGAATCGCCTAAGCCCAGGAGTTGGAGATTATTGTGAGCTGTGTGATGCCACAGCACTCTACTGAGGGTCTGAGTAGTGAGACTCTGTCTCTATTAAAAAAAAAAAAAAGTCTGGTTTGTAAGGGAGGAATAAAGTGTTTTTCCTTAGAGGATAGAACTGAATTCTCATAAACTTAACATGAGGTCAGGCAATAGTCCTGCATGAGGCCCATCATTTTCTGGGCCTTGGCACCTGGTAGGAGGAAATAAGTAGTCACTGTGATGAGAAAGGTGGGATCACAGGCTGGCAGAGGTGGTAGGGGGAACGACATGGCCCCAAATGATTATAAAATAAGGTGGAGGCAGGGTGCAGTGGCTCACGCCTATAATCCTAGTACTCTGGGAAGCTGAGGCAGGATAGCCCTAGCCCAGGAGTTTGAGGTTTCAGTGAGCTCTGATCATGCCACTGCACTCTACTCAGGGTGACAGAGCAAGACTGTCTCAAAACAAACAAACCCAAGATGGAATAAAATGTGCCCACACATCCTGTGCACCAGGATGCAACTGGAACATCCCCACCACCCCCTTGTCCAGGGGTTTTGCTCTGCCCCTCCCCCATCCCTGGTCCGGGCCTTTCAGGGACTCCTCAGTTGTCCCCCCAGGCCCCATGCCCATTCACCCCTGACTCCTGTCCTATGCAGGGATACTCATTCGTGGCGCCATCCATACTGTTTGATCACAACAATGCGGTGATGACTGATGTTCTGGAAGCGCCTGGCACTGGAGACCGGCCTGGTCGGGCAGCCGTGGCCAGGAGTGCCATGATGCAGGTGGGCTGGCCCAGGTGGAGGGAAACTGGGTTTGGGGGGTGGTTTAGTCTGGGACTCTGAGCCTGGATCAGCCAGTCCACGCGGTGTGATCTGGTGAGGTGCAGAGGTGGGGCGTGGCTCGGCCGGGCTCCCGGGTGGACTTCTGACTCTTAACATTTGCCTCCAAGGACTCGTCCTTCTTCCAGCAGTACGAGCTGGACCTGCGGGAACCTGCGCTGGGCCAGGGCAGCTTCTCTGTGTGTCGCCGCTGCCGTCAGCGCCAAAGCGGCCAGGAGTTCGCTGTGAAGATCCTCAGTCGTAGGTGGGCAGTCTCAACGATGGGGGGATGGGGGCTGAGCCAGAGGGCGGCCCGCGGCATCGGGGGCAGAGCCAGAGGGCGGCCATCCTAACCCCTCCTGCTCTGCCCCGCCACCCCAGGCTGGAGGCGAACACGCAGCGCGAAGTGGCAGCCCTGCGCTTGTGCCAGTCACACCCCAACGTGGTGAATTTGCACGAGGTGCACCAGGACCAGGTGATGCCTTCCTAACCGGGTTGGAACGCCGGGACGCCTGAAGCGTCTGTTGGAGGGCGGGGGAGGTAGGCGGAGAAGTGTGGTTGGAGGCGGCACCTGCGGACAGTTGCGGGGGCCAGAAGGGACCAGACAGACCCCGCAGGTGGGATTTCAGGGGACTAGGACCCGAGGACCTAAAGGCGGAGCTGAGAAGCAGAGGATGGCCGAGGAAACGGAATTTGAGGAGGGCGTTCTTGGGATAGGTCTTATGGGAGCGGAGTTTTAAGGAGGTCCTAGAGCAAAGGGGTCTGAAAGGCTGTGGGGTAGATCCTGAGACTCCGAAGTGGCGACTGAGGTGACTTTTAGGGTGGTTGGGGCCGGCTGGTGGGTAGCCCGGTTCCACGGGTGATGACCGTGGCCCGTTGCTCCCCGCACAGCTGCACACATACCTAGTCTTGGAGCTGCTGCAGGGCGGGGAGCTGCTGGAGCATATCCGCAAGAAGCGGCACTTCAGCGAGTCAGAAGCCAGCCAGATTCTGCGGAGCCTAGTGTCAGCCGTGAGCTTTATGCATGAGGAGGCGGGCGTTGTGCACCGCGACCTCAAGCCAGAGGTGGGCACAGGGGCAGGCCAGGGCTGCAGCGCGGGGGTGGGGTGGGGGGAAGTCCCACGCCTGACCGCAGCCCTGCCGCCCTCTCAGAACATCTTGTACGCCGACGACACTCCCGGAGCCCCGGTGAAGATCATTGACTTTGGTTTCGCGCGGCTGCGGCCCCAGAGTCCAGGGAGGCCCATGCAGACACCCTGCTTCACGCTGCAGTACGCGGCCCCCGAGCTGCTGGCGCAGCAGGGCTACGACGAGTCCTGTGACCTCTGGAGCCTAGGCGTCATTCTGGTATGGGACCAGGTCCTTGAGGAGGCTTCAGGGTTCCCGGGCCTGGGGTCAGAGGTCTTCCTGATGTAGTGAATACCGAGGCGGAGACAGAGTCATCTTGGCAGAAAGGAGGGTTAGGGCTGAGGCTGGATCAGGGGCCGTCCTAATGCAGAGACAGGGTTCCTCCAGTGCTGGGGTCGGGGCATTCGTGTCTTAGGGGGTTGGAAGTCAGGGCTCATCAACGTTAATGAGCTCCCAGGGCTCATTACCTCCAGGGAGTTACCCTGGAGGAGAGGGCGAATGGTTCTGTGGGTGCGCTGAGGACTCAGGCTCATTCTAGTCTGGGACAGTCTCATTCTTCACTTCCTCCTCCACCCCGTTCTTAGTACATGATGCTGTCGGGGCAGGTCCCCTTCCAGGGGGCCTCAGGCCAGGGCGGGCAGAGCCAAGCGGCCGAGATCATGTGCAAGATCCGCGAGGGGCGCTTCTCCCTTGACGGGGAGGCCTGGCAGGGTGTGTCAGAGGAAGCCAAGGAGCTGGTCCGAGGTGCGGAGCTGGAGGTTGCAGATTATGGGTGGGGCGGGGAGGTCATGTGGTCACGTTGGGACGGGGATGGTCTGAGTTAGTTGACTTGTCTGGGAGATGGGTAAGGGAGGAGAGTGGGGAGGTTAGGCTTGCTCTCGGGCGCAGCCTCCACATGACTTCGCACTCCCGGCACTTCCCGGTCCCACCTCCAGGGCTCCTGACTGTGGACCCTGCAAAGCGGCTGAAACTAGAGGGGCTGCGGGGCAGCTCGTGGTTGCAGGATGGCAGCGCGCGCTCCTCGCCCCCACTCCGGACCCCAGATGTGCTCGAATCTTCCGGGCCCGCAGTGCGCTCTGGGCTGAACGCCACATTCATGGTAAGGGGCGGGGCCCGCAGGAGGGCGGAGCCTCGAGAGGCCGAGGCGAGGTGAACCCAGTTTGACAGCTGGTCTGTCCCGACCTTGACCCGCGGGAGGCTGGATGCCAAGGACCTGTTGATCTTGACCCAGAGGGTCGGGGGTTGGGGTCTGGGAATGGGAGGCAAAGCTAGGCTCTGGAAGCCAGGTACACGCCGGGGTAAGGGGGACTCACCTACTCCTTTCCCAGGCGTTCAACCGGGGCAAGCGTGAGGGTTTCTTCCTGAAGAGCGTGGAGAATGCGCCCCTGGCCAAGCGGCGGAAGCAGAAGCTGCGGAGCGCCACGGCCTCCCGTCGCGGCTCACCAGTGCCCACCACCAAGGGGCCCCCCCGCCGAGCCAACGGTCCCCTACCCCCTTCCTAGCTCCTGCCACTGTGACTTCCCCTCCCCATAGGGGCTGTGTCCTGGAAGCCCAGCTCACTGCCCCAGCCCGCTAACAGCGGCTCTGCCCTGATCCCCAGGGATTGTCTTTCCCCCTCCCACCCTACTCCCAGACAGAGCAGAAGTATTTTTATAAGCAGAGAATTTTTTTATGTCTTACCAGATAGAGTTAGAGATGCAGGGAAGGAGGGGGCCTGCTGGAGAGTGGGGCACGGGAGGCCCGCTCCTAAGCCACTGCCTCATCTGGGCAAAAGACTCCTCCCAGGGGGCTACTCCAACGGGAACCGGCCCTCTCTTATTTATAAGCACTGTTGCTGCAAGGGAGAAACTGGGACCCTTTCCCTATTCTCTCTTGAGGCCCTGCTCCTGGGAGGGGGCACCCATCAAGCTGTCACTTTATGGACTGTCTGTGCAATTATGTCCACCAAAGACCTGTGGGGGGTATTGAGGAAGAGGGCTTGGGGAACCCCCTGAAGCATTTCTGCCTCACTTAATGTCACATGCTTCTCCCCCTATTGGGGCTAAGGAAGTAGACAACCCCCGTAAAAGTGGAGGCCCCCATCTCACCACCCCCTCCTCTTTGGCATAGCTGCTCCTGGCTGGGGGTGGGGCCTTGGGGGCTTGGGCTAGGCATCCATGGTCACTGCCTCAGCCCATCCAGGCTGTGCCTTTGACTTTAAAATAAAAGTCCACCCAGTCCTGTGTGTGGAATCTTGTGTGCTAGTTAATGGTGTGGATTTCTGGAGCAGAGGTCTTGGGCTCTGGGACCTCAGAGGGGAGGAACTGGTAGATCTTTCTGGGATAAGAAGGTCCTGTGTTCTTGGCTTTTGACATGGGCAGTAGAAGGGCCAAACTCTCATCTTGGGTGTGTATCTAGACAGCTCTGCCATGTGTCACTCAGGATTCTTTTGGTTGTAAGTATGGGTGCTCCTCTGTTTCTCATGAGGCTTCATTCTGATAAGTTGAAAATGCATTTAGTGCTGGTAGCACAGCAGAAAATTCCCAACTGACAATGGTTGAACTTAGATTTTTCTTTCACTTTAGGATAATGGCCAAAGTGATAGGTATTCTGTAGAAACAGTAACTCTATCAAAAACTGTAAGGAGCTTCTTGACTTAAGATAGGATTTTGTCCCCATAAACCCATCCTAAAGTTGAAAAGTAGTAAGTTGAACCTTCCTAAAGCAGGACTATCTGTATAGAAAACTCAACCTAAACTCGCTTAAGCAAAACACAGGATTTTTTTAGGTTCTTGTAACTACACAGTGCAGTGATATCTGGACTCAAAAAATATCAGGACTCAGTTTCTGAGTCCACATTTTTTATTGTTTTCTTGGTAGGTAGTCCAGTCAGAAGGACTCTCCTTATGGCCCCAAGACAGGTGCAGGGGACTAAAGGGGCTACCGGGGTCACAGTTGGAAATCTGGTGATAATCTTGGTTTTAGTATTCCCAAGGCAAGTCCTGAGATTGGATCTACTCTGATCACATGCCTATCCTGAACCAATCACTATGGCCAGGAGTTCAATGAGTGCACTGATTGGTTTAGATCTGGCTCATGGCCTCTATCTCTGGAAGTTCATTGGGTGGAGAGTAGGGGAAGGGGGTGGGCCCTAGAGGAAGGTCAGTTGCTCTTGGCTTAGTTAATGAGGGAAAGAGTGGAGACAACCTTGCTCTTTATGGCCCTCACAGGGGTCATAGTGTGGCTCCTGCTCAAAGTGTGTCTGGGACACCTCCTTGTGTGATCCCTCCCTGTTGGATGATTGTGGCCATCGGGTGTTTGCAGCTTGATCACCTTTGCTGGCACCCAGATCCTGGGACCTTTTGTCCAAATAATGAGGGAACTCTCACAGTCCTCACCCCAGGCTCTGCCTGAACACCCCAACCTCCTCCCCCTATCTTGTAGTCTTTGAATTTTGAATCATCTGAATTTAGTATCTTTTCACAAATACATGTATAATCTAAATTTAAATTTTGGAACAAACAAAAAAGTACATAGTTAAATATCTTCTTCCATGTGTTCTGGCACTCAGCCACCAAGCTCCTGTTACTAGAGGCAGCCAGTAACACTGGTTCTTATGTGTTTCATACTCATAATTTATGTGTAGTCAAATATAATAATATGTATAAATAAACAAAAAGTCACATTGAGTATTAATGTTAGAAAATAGCTCAGAAAGTACAAAAAGAAAAAAAATCATTTGTGTCATTATTCTTCATAGATAATCTGTGTTAGTTAACATTTTGATGAATGTATTTCCACATTTTTCTTTTTTCTTTTCTTTCTTTTTTGAGACACAGTCTTGCTCTGTCACCCTGGCTAGGGTGCATGGTGTTATCATAGCTCACAGCAACCTCAAATTCCGGGTCTCAAACGATCCTCCTGCCTTAGCCTCCTAAGTAGCTGGGACTATAGGTATGTGCCATAACACCCAGCTAGTTTTTCTATTTTTTGTCTCACTCTTGCTTAGTCTGGTCTAGAATTCCAGATCTCAAGTGATCCTCCTGCCTTGGCCTCCCGGAGTGCTAGGATTATAGGCATGACTCACCACGTCCAGTCTGAGATTTTTCTTTAGTGTTACAGAGTTTTGATTGAAATGGCAAAGGGCATCAGCATGCAAACAGGTTATTATTATTATTATTATTATTTTTTTTTTT